CCACCCTCCCTTGAGGGGCCACAGGAAATGCTGATACTGGTTTAGAACCCATCCATTCCTAGAACACTACTGACAGCTTCATGTTCCTTCTACCCACAGACAAAAGAATAGGAGCGACTGCCCAGCTGTGCGTCTGGCGTCAGCCAGACTCCAAAGGGATCCAGAACAGAGTGCTGGAGCCGGGCCAGCAGTGGTCCATGACTCAGCCAGCTCCCTACACTGCAGACAGGACCTGGATGGAGCTGGTGACAGAACAATCTACAGCCCTGATCTACAGCCCAGGGTCCCAATAGTGTGGGGCCAGCGTCTCTTGCCTCCTGGCCCTGCCCCTTTGCTCAGTCCGACGTGAGAAATCACCATCACCTCCAGTGCACAGCAGAGGGATGCAGGTCGCTTGACCGTGGACAGCGGTGAGAACCCTGAACCTCCAGGCGGTGTCCTAGCCACGGGCCCAGCCCTAATTCCTGGAATTGCACGGACAGCTCTGCCTGGGCCAAAGTCCCTCAGCCTGGGGTGTGCTTGGTTGCTACCCTGAAGAGGCTGAAACCAGTCCTTCAGGAAAAACAGCAGCTCACGTGGACCCTGGGCTTCCCGTGGACCAGGCACCATGCTGGGTCCTGGCGTTGGTGTCCTCAAAACAATCCTGTAAGGTAGGTTGTGTCATTGTCCCCATTTCACAGATGCCAGTCGAGGCTCAAGCGGGGAGCCACATAGGTGCCTGAGGTCTCAATGCTATTAAGTGACAAGGACAAGCAATGAAGGGGCTCAGAGGTCTGCATGACCTGAGCTTTTGGTCACCCCAATGCCCCCAAATTGCCCCTTAGGAAACAAGGAAAGAGGGGCGAGGGGTGAAATCCGGACAGAGAACATGTTTAGGAATTTGGAGAAAACCGAGCCACCAGGGTGATGATTGGGGCAGCCGCCAGAGGGGCCTGGGACCCGGCTGCAGGCGCCCTGGAGACCCAGGTATATCCTACTCCAGCGCCCCCTTCTGGCCCCTCATCAGTGCTCAAGCAGGTTAGGTTAAAACTCTCTCCACATTGGGGCCTTTGTTTTTCTTAAGGATGTGGCAGCG